GGCGCCTTGTAGCGCTAAAGGTGATCAAAATATAAAGTGAATCGTCCAAAGTTGACGAACTGGCAAAGTGAACAAATAAATGTATATCAGATGTAATAAAGTGACTTGAGTGATTTTTGACATATATTTATAAAATCCAGCAATAATGAGATCCGTGTTGGCGAAATCCGTGACTGGAGCTGATAATGTGATTGCACTCACCAGAAGCGCAATTTAAAAGTGCATTTGTGTTAATAGTATCCCGTCATGGTCATTTGGGTATGGATAAGGATGGTGTAAATCATTTGGCACACGTTGAGCATGCACGGTAACTTCAGACCTCTCTCACAGTATCCAGGGACATCTCTTCAGATTTCATAGACCACCGGATGGGAACACAGTAAGAACTGGGGAATCTCCACCTTGGAGGCTCGTCAATAACGAGCCAAAGAATAAAGTGCTTGATAGTGCAGTATTTTATTGAAATTTGGCAAGATAGATGATACAGAGTTGGAATAAAACTCACATCTGGGTTTTGGCAATGTAAGATGGCTGCCGGCCTTCCATGCGGCCTCGGCTGCGTGACGTCACAACAGCTAGGCTCCTCCCTGACACGTTTCGTGCTCGTGCACGTTTTCAAAGGGAGCCTGCTAGCTGTGGATGTCAGAAATATATAGGGACTCGTGCGCATGCGCGGACGAGCACCATATTCCCGTACTGCGTATGCAGTGTTAATGATGGAGACTAAATGGATTGTAGAATTACGGTCCCTATTCCCACATGGTTTGAACATTGACATAGACATTAACTGTTTTATAGACAACAGTTGAATGTTTTAATTTTTATTCTCCTTTACACACTCTTTTATCCCATGCATTTATATGAATATTTATTTTGATAATTTTTATTATCCCAGTGCCATTTTTATAGTTTTATAGGATTATTTTTATTAAAAAAAAATTTTCATATTTTTATAGAATATTTATTTTATGATATGTTCTATTATATTTAATAATTTCAGGTCATATTATTTGGATATCTTATTCCTATCTACATTATATATTTACTTTTAATAGAGGGTAAGAGATTTTACCTTTATGCAAGTGGCCTGATACCTAGCGCTCACTTGTATCCTTTTATTATATCATATTTTAATATTTAAAACTCAACTCCAGTCAAAATATTGTTTATAAGTTTGATGTAGAGTGTGAACAAGGTAAAACTGCTGTTAGATTGAATAGTGGGTGGACTCATGCTCTGCCAACTATCCTCTCAGAAGATGAAGTGTGGTGGGTATCCAGCAATAGAGGATTTCAGATTTCAACCTAATACAGCAGCCACCAGTTCCCTGAACACTTTTTATTCATGGAGCCATTGAAGATTCCCTAAAGGTGTTTGACCTTTTTGATCACGGTGGGAGTTGATCATGTGTTCAGTCAGAGGGAGAGATCCATCCTGCCTGGGACCATCCAGTGATCAGGGGCGGACTGACCATTTGGAAACTCGGGCACTGCCCGAGGGCCTGGGGTCAGTAGGGGGCCCCATGAGATGCCCCTGGTACTGTTTTCATAGGCTTTTTGAGTTTGGGCAAGGACACAGGGGCCCCATGATCCCCTATTGCCCGGGGGCCCAATGAGTTGTCAGTCCGCCCCTGCCGGTGATACAATATATTTTATGACTCCTTGAGGGTCAAATTTTTGAGGTGAGCGCACACGCCAGACGGTGACGGATAGATTGGCACTAGTGTCTGAGCACGCAATATATAAAGTTGAAGAATTGAAATCTGGATTTTTTTATTTATTATTTTTTTTTTTATTTATTTATTTTTTCTTTATTTATTTTTACACTTGGGACTTTGCAATTTATTTATTGTCATGGTGTATGATTTGGTCACTATTGTTTTCACCTTTAATTGTCTCCTAGTCACAAGTATGTATTTTAATTATTTGGATCATGTTACACTTTTTATATATATTTGAAATTAAGCTGGTTGATTAACATTTTTTATTGATTACACATAGTGTCACATCACTAATTTATATTTATTCACAATTTTTATTACATGTTAATTGCCTTTCATTATTAATTTCAAGTATATCACAGAGCACACAGCGCTACACCATTTTTTTGATCAATAGTGCTGTTAGGTTGTTGTTGCTGCCTTTGTAACCATTGGAGAGATTTCCCCATATTTTCTGTGTGGTCCCTGAGACAATGGGGCAAATTTACTAATGGCAAATAGGCTGTTTACTGAAAGGAACTCACACTTTACAAGGGAATTTTCCCTTAGCTTGGTGAAAGCAGTGAAAATTCTCTTTCCAGAGAATAGCTAGTCATGTGCAAGGAAAATAAAGGAAAAAAAAAAAACGTGTTTTTGCTTGCACATGATTGGATGATAGAAAGCGGTGCAGCTTCACCTCACTCACTAAGGGAAATTCAATCAACACTTTTGCGCAGAGTTTACAAGTGCTTTGTGTAAAATACTAATGCAAAAATCATTCTATAAAAACCATATTGCAGTGCTTCCTAGCATTAAAGAGCCACATAAATAATCAAAAGTATATTTACCATGGGTATACGTATAAAGCATAAAACTTAAACAGCATATATATAAACATGCTCTCTGTGCATTATAAGTGATCAAAAATACAGTTGTGTTCAAAATAATAGCAGTGTGTTGAAAAAAGTGAAAAAAGATCAAAATCCTTCTAATAGCTTTTTTTTCCATACACACAAATGCATTGGGAACACTACACATTCTATTCCAAATCAAAACATGAAGAAAAATATATCAAATTTGTGCTGTTCCTCTCAAAAAAATGAAGAAAAGTGAATATTAGACTGTTCAAAAAAATAGCAGTGTTTGTATTCTTCTTTACAAACTCAAATATTCACTATATAAACTGAAAAATGTTTGAAGATTTTGCTTTCCTTTGAATCACTTAATGAATATTTAGTTGTATAATCACTGTTTCTGAGAACTGCTGTACATCTGTGTTGCATGGAGTCAACCAACTTCTGGCACCTGTGAACAGGTATTCCAGCCCAGGATGATTGGACTACATTCCACAGTTCTTCTCTATTTCTTGGTTTTGCCTCAGAAACTGCATTTTTGATGTCACCCCACAAGTTTTCTATTGGATTAAGATCCAGGGATTGGGCTGGCCACTCCATAACGTCAATCTTGTTGGTCTGGAACCAAGATGTTGCACGTTTACTGGTGTGTTTGGGGTCGTTATCTTGTTGAAACGCCCATTTCAAGGGCATTTCCTCTTCAGCATAAGGCAGCATGACCTCTTCAAGTATTCTGATGTATTCAAACTGATCCATGATCCCTGGTATGCGATAAATAGGCCCAACACTGTAGTATGAGAAACATCCCCATATCATGATGCTTGCGCAACCATGCTTCACTGTCTTCACAGTGTACTGTGGCTTGAATTCAGTGTTTCAGGGTTGTCTGACAAACTGCCACTAGACCCAAAAAGAACAATCTTACTTTCATCAGTCCACAAAATGTTGCGCCATTTCTCTTTAGGCCAGTCAATGTGCTCTTTGGCAAATTGTAACCTCTTCAGCACATGTCTTTTTTTCAACAGTGGGACTTTGTGGGGGCTTCTTGCAGATAGCTTGGCTTCACATGGCGTCTTCTAATTGTAACAGTACTCACAGGTAACTTTACACCTTCTTTGATCTTCCTGGAGCTGATTGTTGGCTGAGTCCTTGCCATTTTGGCTATTCTTCTATCCATTCAAATGGTAGTTTTTCGCTTTCTTCCACGTCTTTCAGGTTTTGGTTGCCAATTTAAAGCATTTGCGATCATTTTAGCCGAGAAGCCTATCATTTTCTGCACTTCTTTATATATTTTCCCCTCTCCAATCAACTTTTTAATCAAGGTACGCTGTTCTTCTGAACAATGTCTGGAATGACCCATTTTTCTCAGAATTTCAGAGAGAAATGCAATTGTAACCAGCATGTACAACATTTTCTGCCTTCCTTCCTTAAATAAGGGCAATAATTGCCACCTGTTTTTCAAAGAATGAATGACCTCACTAATAGAACTCCACACTGCTATTATTTTGAACATGCCCCTTTCAATTAGTGATTCAATTACACAGAATCAGCAGCATGCATGTCATGACTGTTGGGTCTGTTGGATTTCTATTACTCTACTACACCTGCTAGTAAATTATTTGTCATGTAGAAATATTATTTCTACAAAAAACAGTGATTGATCAGGTTAGTGATGTCTGACTGCTATTATTTTGAACACAACTGTATATATGCGTTAAAAAAAATGTATATAATTGCTATAGTGCAATCATCCTGCAAATCAATAAATATAAAAATCCATAAAAGTCTCAATCCAAATAGTTCATATAGATTGTGGCGATTTAAAGTGACTTGTGCCAGGATGACTTCCTCCAACAATGTGCAAACACTCCTTACTCCCCTTCTTTGTCACTGCACTCACTGAATGGTAATGACCTCTTATGAATATAAGTCTCAAGTGCTTTAACCACTAGCCTACAGGGCACTTATACCCCCTTCCTGCCCAGGCCAATTTCCAGCTTTCAGCGCTGTCACACTTTGAATGACAATTGTGCGGTCAAACAACACTGTACCCATATTAAATTTTTATCATTTTTTTGTGGCAAAGCTTTATTTAGGTGGTATTTAATCACCTCTGGGTTTTTTATTTTTTCTTAAACAAACCAAAAATCACTGAAAATTTTGAAAAAAAAAGTTTTTTCTTAGTTTTTGTTATAAATTTAGTAAATAAGTAATTTTTCTCCTTCACTGATGTGCACTAATGAGGCTGCACTGATGGGCACTGATAGCCTGCACTGATGGACACTGATAGGTGGCACTGATGGGCACTGATGAGGAGGCACTGGTAGGTGGCACTGATGGGCATTGACAGGCATCACTGATGGACACTGAAAGGCAGCACTGATACATGGCACTGATAGGCAGCACTGATAGGCGGCACTGACTGGCACTAATAGGCGGCACTGACTGGCACTGATTGGCAGTACTGATAGGTGGCACTGATTGGCATTGATAGTTGGCACTGACTGGCACTGATGGGTGACACTGAAAGGCAGCTCAGATGGGCACTGATATGTGGCATTGATGTGCACTGGTGTACACTGATATGTGGCATTGATGTGGCACTGATGGGCACTGGCACGAGGCACTGACATAAGGCACTGATGTACACTGACAGGTGGCACTGCTGGGGCTACACTGATCATCAGTGCCCTGATGATCAGTGTACATGTCCCCTCCGCGGAAAGCCGATTACCGGCTCTCCTCTCCTCTCGAGCTGTCAGCTTGACAGCTCGAGAGGAGAGAAATGCCGATAACCGGCATTTCCCTGTTTACATGTGATCAGCTGTGATTGGACACAGCTGATCACATGACCGTGCCGACATCTTCGGCTCTTTCCGTGATCGGTGATCCGCTGTGTCCGAGGAACACAGCGCACCATCGATCGCCACGCTGCACGCTTCCTGAGCCGCGCATGCGCAGTGAGAATGGGAGGACGTCATATGACGTCCTCTCAGAACGAGAGAACCACCTTGCGCCCATCATATTACTATATGGCGGGTGGGAGGTGGTTAATATGGGTACTCTTTCCTTTTCATCACTCTTGCAGGATGTTTTGCCGCTATTATCCTCCCGGTGTGCATGCATGTAAGGTGAAAAAAGCAAAGCCAGAGGCAGCCAAGAGTGTAACTCCATTCTATTTGAGAAATAAGAACAATTTAAATCCACTTACAGTGCTAAAATGCGTGCATAGTACACCAGCAACAGTGCATTAGCAACTTCCTGTAACCATCTGCATTCCACCAATAGGAAGTAAGAGGCGGAAGTGACACAGCACCTTGTGTGTGTGGATGGAAATCTGTCAGTTTTTTCATCTGGCCTCACAGATTAGGAAGAACCTGTAAAATAGCACCACATCCCATATAGTTCAATAATAAATAAAAATACCTTGCATGATATGTTCACCTTTATTCACCTTTTTTTTCTAAATTCCAGATCCCCAATGTACCAATATAGCATTCATGTACTTCTTTTGTAGAAATTCAAAAGCTTTCCATTTTTTCTACCCACCTTTATGTCAGTGTCCAGATGGCTGTCCAAAAAGCTTCTCCATTACTTCTGCCTTATTTCCTGCAGAGCCTTTTGGTCATAACACAGGAAGGAATTGACCAGCTGACCTCATTAGCATACACCCTGCATTATCTACCCACCTATATACCACCCACTTCCAGATGCACCAGGGGCGTATTTGCCATGAGGCAAACAAGGCATTTGCCTTGGGCAGCATTTGTCAGGGGGGAGGCGCCGCTCCCCAGAAGAAGCAGGGCAGTGGGGCAGAAGGCCATGGATCCCATGGGCTAAATCTTGTGCAGAGAGTGGTGTCCCCAGGGTGCAAACAGGAGGATAGTGTCTTGCCCAGCTTATCATTCCCACACATCGAGCAGGCGGCCCAGAGATGGAGAGCGGTAGGACCTAGAGCCCAGGAACCTTCATCTTCTGCCTGATACGCAAAAAGGTGATAAGCAGCAGGTGCAGCATCCAGGTGCCTCCCAGAGCCTGGACTCCATCTCCAACCTCGACTCTGATATCAATACCGACTGCGGCTGAAGGAGAGGCTGACCAGGGGCACAGAGGACAAGGACAGGAGAGAGGAGCAGAGCACCACCATCATCACCCTAATCCTCACTGCTGGCCATCATGAACATCCTGCTGCTGGCATGGAAAGTACCAAGCATCCCACACATTGACCTGCAGACAGAGATTGGAAGAAGGGGGCAGAGGAGGGACTGCAGACAGGGGCATGGCTAGGGCCTCTCTCTCACCCCCCCTCTCTCCCTCCTCACCCTCTCACCCCCTCTCTCCCCCTTACCCTCTATCACCCCCTCTCTCTTCCCCCTTACGCTTTCTCCCCTCACCCTCTTTCTCCCCCGCTCACAATCTCTCTCTATCGCTACCCCTTCTTTCTCACCCCCTCTTTCTCTCCTCCCTCACCCCCTCTTTCTTTCCCCTCTTCCTAATCTCCACCCCTCTCTCTCCCTTTCCCCCTATCTCCATCCCTCTTTCTCTCTTTCACCCCCCCCCATCTCTCCCCCACTCACATGTATGTGGGGGGAACAGAGTGGATACTGACTGACAGATTACAGCAAGTGAGTGCTACCGATTTAATTCCCCCAAGAACTGCCACTCATTCCATCCCCCTCCAGCACTGCCACTGATCCAATTTTCCCCCACCACCACTCTCACTGATCACACACCTTCCCCTCCAGGTCCAGCAACCAAGGGGTGGGCGATAATAATGTGCAGTAACCTCTAGCAACCAATCAGCAAGCAGAAATCACATGCTGTAACCTCTAACAGCAAATCAATGAGCCATATTGTGATCTGTAACCTCTAGCAACCAGGCAGTGAGTGGTAATGATATGCTGTAAACTCTGGCAATCACGGTTGCTGCCTGATCTGCTGGAGTAAACTGATTTTGAGTCTAGATGCTATTTATTGTATGTCTCGGGAGTGAGACCCAATAAAATGTTTGCTCAGAGTCCAGTGAGTATTAAAAACAGCCCTTGGAAGAAGGAACACTGGATGTCCTGCGCCATTCCTGGTGGTGATGTCACGTCGAGGAGGCTCCAAGTGGTATCGGGCTGGGTGGAAGGCAGAAGAACAAAGTGAGGGGAACCAGGGAAGCGGCTGTGAGACTCCAGGAAGGGAGCCGGGGCATGGGGGTGGGGGTGGTTGCAGATTTTTTGTGTTGCTTAGGGCAGCACAAAACCTAAATACAGCACTGAGGTGCACGAATATTAAAAGATAAGCAATCAATCAGTGATCACTGTTCTCACTAACTGCACAGACATTGATTTTTTTTATTTTTCTACCTTAAAGTGATTCTAAAGGTTAATTTTTTTAGTAAAATAACAAACATGTCTATACTTACCTGCTGTGTGAAGTGGTTTTGCCCAGAGCAGCCTGGATCCTCCTCTTCTTGGGTCCCCCACGGGCTCTCCTGGCTCCTCCTTTCTGTCGGGTGCCCCCACAGCGAACAGCTTGCTATGGGGGCACCTGAAGGTCCCACTTGCTGTCTCAACCAATGAGGAGGCAGAGACTCGGGACAGCCAAGGCTGTCATGCATATCACTGGATCTCAATGAGGCTTAGGTAAGTATCAAGGGGGCTGGGGGCACTGCTGCACACAGAAGGTTTTTTACCTTCATGCATAGAATGCATGAAGGTGAAAAACCTTGAGCCTTTACAACCACTTTAACTTTCATCTTGCATAGATCATTCATTTGGCAGAGAGTGCTGAGTGAACAGATAACAGCCTATGTGGATAGAGTTGTAGTATTGAAAACAGAAGAATTGTGTTATGGATTCTGTAAAGTTCACATACACTATACAATCTGATTGTACAATCTCCTTTAGGGAAGTAGGGAATTGAAAAATATTGCAATATTCTTTTTAAAGGTTTTGCCTCATATATTATTTTTATATACATGATTGAGCCTGCCCCTGTTTAGATCACTGCTAACCACAACCAGTAATTGTGTATCATGTGATCACTATGATTGGCCATAGTTATCACATGACAACAATGTAAAAAAAACTGTCACGGATTTCCATTCATGAAGAGCTTGCTTAATACTGTAGTCTGTGATTTGCTCACAACAATCACATGGTACCTGGCTACCTGTGCCATGTGAATAGCTTATCCAATCACAGATAACAATAAAAAAACAAGCTGTTCATGACTGGGAAACCCATTCATGACATCTGAAGCCTTTGCTTATACAATGATCTTTACTGTATAACCAATAGCAATGTAAAAAACAGAAATCCCTGATCACCCCTCAGAGTAGTATAATGTTGCTATGGTGACACTGAGCTACTCTGATGACGAGATGTAATAAAAAAATAGTAAAAATGTTTTAAAAAAATATATTTAAAAAATTGAATAAAAAATTATTATTATTATTATATTTCTTTTTTACATATATCCCTGATCACCACCACACCAGTCATATGATGACACTGTACTGCACTGGTGACAGTATGTAAAAAAAAATTGTGAAAAAAAAAATTGAATGTCTTAATTTTTCCAAACAATTGTGACAAAAAATTACAACGTAAAAAACTCCCCATACCTCTTACTAAATACCCCAGACTATCTACTTTCCAAAAAGGGGTCATTTGGGAGGCATTTGTACTTTCCTGGCATTTTAGGGTCTGAGAACATCAGAGCTGATCAATTTTCAAATATATATACCATAGTTTGTTGACGCAATAACTTTCACACAAACCAATTAATATACACTTGGGATTCTTTTTACCAAAGACATGTAGCAGAAAACATTTTGGCCTAAATTAATGAAGAAACTTGATGTTTAAATATATTTTATTGGATATGTTTTGTAACAGCAAGTAGAACATATTGGGGGGGGGGGGGGGGGGTTTCCACATTTTTATTATTATATTATTATACAGGATTTATACAGCGCCAACAGTTTGCTTAGCTCTCTACAATATAGAGGGAGACAATACAGCAACAATACAGTTCAATACAAGAGGGTTAGGAGGGCCTTGCTCCTTGGAGCTTACAATCTAAGAGACATTTGCTGTCTTTGTTGGTTTATATAAAATACTACCAAAAGAAAGCTCAATTTGTGTGAAAAAAAATGATATAAATTTCATTTGGATACAGTGTTGCTTGACCACAAAATTGTCTGTTAAAGTAGCGCATTACTGAATAGCAAAAAATGGTCTGGTCATGAGGGGGGTAAAACCTTCCAAAGCTCAAGTGGTTAAGGTATTTTTATTAAAAAAAAAAAAAAAATACAAAAAAGCTAACCTAAGCTTTTATACAGCTGGAAAAGTCTTTGCCAACTTGCATTTTATATCTGTATCATTCACTTAAAAAATAGTGAATCCAGAGGATAAATATTGCAGTTTTTTTAGGGGCTCAGGAGGTCAGTAATAGCAATGTATGTATTTCCTCAAAAAAAAGTTCTTTGATTTACTGATTGCTTGCTTTGGCTTTTTGCCATTTGCACACACACATTGTTCTCCTGCCCTACAGAATAAGTCTTTATTTAGTTATTTATGTAAACGAATTCAGTTATGCAAGAACTGAAAGCATTGCACATGTAATAATATAATTACTTTGTGTATCTAAAAGATTAACAGGATTTTATTTTTAATAATTCTATAGCACCTCGCTGATGTAATGTAAGCAGGGAGTAATCAATTGACAGGATTAGTTTTTCTCCAGTTGGACTAATACAAGAAACAGGTTTGGTTTATCCACAGGCATTATGCTTATATAAGGAGATAAATAATAAACTAGATGGCTTAGTTGTGTTTTTTTCTGCTTGGAGATAG